CTGATTATCAGTTTTCAGTTTTCAGAATTTTATTGCAAGATTAGAAAAAGGAGGGAAATTTCTTTTAATTTATTTACTTCTAATGAAATGTGCTTGAAAAAGGACTGAGTTATTTCCGTAAATATTGATTGTAGATGCAATTTGCATCCATTTAAAAAAGTCTCAAAAAAATAGGTATGTATAATTTTGTGAAAACTACTTTTGCATAGTAAGTGGAATGTGTTGTGTAAGTAATGAAATGTAATTATAGCTCTCGTCAAACCAAATTTTGAATTAATGAAATATTCATTGTGCTTAAATTAGTTAAATACAAAGTTCTTTTATGAGCAAAATTTGTGAAGCTATTAATATTATGGATTACTGACTTAGTTAATCATGTTACTTAGGATACAAAATTACTTGGTTTTGAAGCGACTCCACTTTTTTTAACCTTGTCTAGAAAAACAAAACGCACATGTGAAATCAGTTACATCTCAAGAATGGAACACCAACCTGGCCGATATCCTGATGACCTCAGAACAGTAGAAATATTTCCCCTTTTTCATAATGGGTTCTTGATCAGGAATGACGCAGAACACCTAAAGATCCTCTAAGGCTTCTGGTCCCCATGTGTCGACATATCTTTCATACCTCTGTTTAGGCCACTTGCAAATAGCCCTAAACCCTTTCTTACTCTTACTCCACTGAAAGGCAATTAACAGGGTTGGTATGGTCATAAACTATTACATCATAAGCAGCTTTTCCCATCTTAGGATATGAATTCTTTTAATAAACATTGCTAAACTTGGTGATTTAAGATCAATTTGTATTCAGAATTTTTTGAGATTTGTGAATTTTTTGACAAATGTAATAACATTGATAAATATTAAAATAATGATAATGTATTAAAATTGTATTTAAGAAACAACATTAAAATTAAATATTTTTTTATTCCTGTCACATTATAAAATGACATTACTTTCCATTTTTCCGACTTATTAGAATATTTTGAATCTGAAAAATAAACGAGACAATAAATGCAATAAGGCACAGTTTCCAAAACACTTAACAAGGGCAAAATAGCTATTGTAATTATTTTTAAATTAATGTAATTTATCTTCCATTATATTTTTTCATGGTAAGCTTTTTTCCTGTATAATTGTCTCAGAGTATTCAAACGGGTATTAGTTTTTATCTATAAAATTCGCTTTGCACGTTTCTTCTCCTGCCCCCTGTTTTTTTTTTTAAAAACCTTTGCTCTTACAGAAATGGTAGGGATAACTTTTCTTTCGAATTTTAGACCTTGCACTTCAGGAAGGCTTAGGAGGATTTGAAGGCTAGATTTATAGACCTACAATTCTAGAATCTTCCAGAAAGTGTGAAAAAAAATGGAAAATGTCTTCATGGTATTAGCATATAATCGACATGTTTTATAGAAAGTTTGTGATGAATTTCTAGTTTTTTTAAGGCGAATAAAAACATTATTATTTGAATTTCCTATATTTAATCCTAGAAGTCTTTCTGTTAACATGCTTTTCTTCCCTTTATTTTCTCTTTTTGTCACTAGACACAAGCATGGAAAATTACAGAAATGGTTCTAATCTTGTCATTTGGACAGGCATCTTTAGAAAGGAATTTTTCTATTAATAAAGAAATTGGAAACTGGAAGTTTAAAAGATTCATATTATTTATGTTAATATACCATACACAGGGCTGGTGCTGGGTATTTTCCAGCCTGATAAATCTGTATGGGTCCTAAATTCTAAAAATTTTGACATTCTTAGATTTTGTTGCTTGGTGCTTTGCTAAATTCTGCCATACTGGACTTGGTCATGTATAATTTCATATTTATTCTCAGTGCTGATATTATTAAAGAAATAAAATTAATAGTTTCTTCTAGACATTCTAAATGCATGCAGTTTTTTAGAATAACAGAAATTGAATACATAAAGAGAAAGACAATTTTTCTTGAAAGGTGTATTGTTGAGACATTAACAAGTTGGGAGATAAAACAGAAACTAATAGGAACATTGATTCATTTATTGACAGAAATTTCTTTTTGTTATGAAAGGCGTTTAAGGAGAAGAAAATATATAAATTTTAATGTATAATTAGCTTAATACAATTTTAGAATCAATGTCATAAATTATATGACCAGCGGCCGAGCGGTAAAGTCGCTGAACACTGGTAGTTCGGTCCGAGGTTCGAATCCCGCGAACGGGCTGGCTGCATGGGTGTTTTCGTGGTTTTCCCCATGTGTAACGTGTATACGAGCCAGTTTCCCTTAGAAAGTCCTCCACGAAAGGCATCCCTCCCCTTAGGCAGATAGCCCTAGTGTGCTTTGCCGTAATTAAAATACACATACACAATACACATAAATTATATGTTAAATTATCTGTTATTTTAGATTGTTAAATGGTCTTAGCTTGTGATTTTACAGTGCTTTTTAATGAATATTTTTAAAAAGTCTAAAAAACTTTGATAGTGACTATAACGACTAAAGGTATCTAACTACCTAATTTAATTATTTGTTACTACCATGAAAAGTTATCTCTGTGTGTTTTCATGTTAAAGTGGCTTATTGCTTTTCTTTAATCCTGTGAACCTTGCACTTAGGTACAACACAAAAAATATAAACTTTTTCCTTTTCCACTAGTGAGAATTATAATTATGCAAAACAGCTTATCACCTAAGATGCTTCAGCAGCTTATTGGAATCTTTAAGTATATTAGCTGCATTAAACTCCAACTCTGTGGAAAGCTGTGGCCCCAACTGAGTCAGACAGGTAAAGCATAACTAACTTTCAACATTTAAGAACCATGCCAGTGTGAGGCAGTGAGGTCTCTTCTGATCAATGGGTTTCTGTCTCTTTCTATGCAAGCAACAGACATGGCAACAGCTAATTTTCAACAGCCAAGCCTCTGTTATGAATCATGCTGGTTATGAGTTTATTTTAACCTATGCTGCTTGACGTAAAATCTGCTTACTATATACTAAGCTGAGCTAGTACATCATAAAGCGAGATATAAAGAAACTGTTTGTGAAACAAATATCTCCAGCCTTCTTTAAAATATGTCCGATAGAATAATGTTAATATAGGTGTTCTAGGCAAAAGTAAAAATATAAGTGTTTTAAGGAAATTCTGCAATTTAATGCTAACTGATAAATTTTACTAAGTTAATTTTATTCTCGAATTTGTTTTACAAGTATTCGTAATAATAATGTATTCTGCTAACAAATATGTTTTATTCTTAGTATAGTATTACTAAATGAAGCTCAAGGCATAAATAATTACTTTAATTCATTCAATTCCCATTTGCTGATAGGTCCTTAATTTTTTCATTGATAATCCTTAAAAGTACTTAATTTCCATGTGCAGAAATGTGTATGAACTCTAAGTTAACTATTAACATATTCTAGACTAGAAGAAAGGGCAGCACTTGTTAGTGGACGTGTACTCGAAAGGGAATAGCAAATCCTGATGATTAATAATTTTGATTTCAATAATTAAAAATATTGTTTCAGTGAGAAATTACACTTATATTGATTAATTTTTACTTATTGTTATAAACGAGTCCAAGTCCATCATCATTCACGTTTAATTTCGCCCACAAAGTCGGTGTAATTTGAGATGGGTATTGTGCAGATCTGCTGTAAATGTACGGAAAAAATGGTAAAATGAGAAAACATCTTGCAAGGACCTTAAACCGGTACTGTCCTTACTACAGTGGTGGGCAAAAGTTGGCCCAGTCCAAGGTCCGTACAGTGAAACGTGCAGTGTCACTGTACGGACCTTGGGCCCTGTCCCTTCTAATTGCTTAATCTGTCGCCTGTTCAACGATATTTTCATCTCTTTCCTACCCAGTTTTATACACAAACTGCCGAAATCAGCAAGACGAGTGTACATCTATTGTTACACTATATATATGCATGTATATACGCATGACTATATTAGCGATCAACCTAAGTTAAGAACACTAGATACGCTATGTACATTCCTGTACAGCCTGTATATTCACCGAAGAATATAATCCTATCATTTCTAGCTGTTTTAGGTTAGAAATTAAAAATGAAATAAGAATATTTTTAAGATAAAATGACTAACCAAAAAAGGAAACTTAGGGAAAGAACAGTTCAGCATTAAATTTTTGTTTGAAAATGAATCAGTGTACATTTAATGACCAATAGGAATACATCCAGTTTTTGGCATATTTGTAATTTCTTAAAAATTTTTATTGAGATTGGGGTGTTTTCCTGCACGCATCCCTTCCCACAGACAATAAGGTACTGCAAAAGATTGCCATGACTCTGCCCCTATGATGCACTATAAAAGACCTTTTTGGATCACGGTTATATGTGTTTGCTCACTATATTATGAAGTGTATTTGAATTGTTATACGTGTTTGCCCGCTGTATTACGAAGCACTCGAATTGATTGTTCTTTATTTCCCCCTTCAGGTAGAAAATGAACTTATGCATGAAATAATACCATGTATTATAAACACCAGCAATATTCAAAACATTATGAGTAAAACGTTTACTAATTTTGCCGATATCAATATCAGCTGTACCAGTGAAATTTTTCACCTCTAAGGTAAATCAACTATGGAAGAATAAAATTGGTTACTGGATGTGTATAGTAGCATGGTCTTCATAAACTAAGCAAATCTAAACTGTTTAACAATATTAACTAATTTTATAAAGATTTCCGCTTCAACCTTCAAACTGGAGAATTTTAGTTTTTTATCATGTGTATTTGATCATTTTATACGATATGCAATGTTCAACGAAGTTATAGCAAATAACACAACAACTTTGCAATATGTATAATGCTAACTCTCACATACAGATATATATTTTTTTAAAAATTTTGTTGTTAAGCAACATGCTGTTAGTGCCAGTTTAGGATACACTCCTATGTGGATAATGTTTTGACATGTTTTGTAATATTGTAACACCAGCTCTGAGAAGATTGTAGAATTTCTTATTTTTTATTCCTTTTGTAATAATTAAAACAGAACTAGAGTACAAACAAATCAAGGTTTATTATAATATGTAATATACATAAATTTAATGAAATCATCATGTCACATGCGTAACTGAGTCTGACACATTCTGCGTAAAGCTTTTAGAGTTAGTGATCTAACCTAACATTGCACATAAATCCATCAATTACATTTAATAAGCTTAACGAGTAGGTGAACTTTTAATTTCACTTTTCTTTATGTTCATTGGTCTTTTCTTCTCTCTTTTTTCTCTGGAATTTTATAAAGGTTATCATTAATAGCATAGAATCGAGGAGAGTCAGCACAGTTTACTTTATACCACCACTGACAGGCAAACTTTTCTTGACTAAATATTGTTCCATTGGGGCATAAAAAGCTATTTTGAACACCACCCGACTGACAGAGGTGGACAACCTGAAATAAATGATAATAATAATGTATTTTTATGCAAAAATGAAGTAAATGCAATTTATCATAGCTGATGTATGTAGTTTTATATTCATTGTTAGGAGATAAGTATAAAAAATGAAACTTGAACAGCCACTAATTTGAGTAGATGAGTTTTCAAATGGAATAATTCATTGGTTCTGAAATCTCATTTCCCTTGTCGTGTGGTATTTTTTCCGTGTATAGCATTTTATGTAAGCAAGTTCAGTAAACAGAAATTGTTGTGAAGTTGAAGAAACCTTCTTTTTCTGTGAGACGTCTTCATAATGGTGTCCCATCATAAAGATGTAACATTTTTATGCAAGTCAGCCACCGTTCTCTAAGACAGGAAACCTCCTCAAAGTTGGTTTCAGTTATAGCGTAATGTTTAACTTGAAGAAGGCAAAATGTCAAAACTGCCATGCAGGGATTTTTTTCGCAAAGTAGTAAAGCCCTACTTACATAGCGATGCAGCACCGTTCTGTATAAAAATGCCTATACTGTTGACAAAGTCATGTCGATTTAAGGATGGTTTAACTTCTGATTCTGGATTCGATAATGATGCGAACCCATTGAAATCTTAGCGCAGTGGTTCTCAACCCTATCCCCACGGCGCCTGCCGATCATTTAACATGTGCCTGCCACTTTGCGATCACATTAAAAACGTTTTAGTTTTCTATAAAATTCTATGTAAAAGTTTTCTCATTTTTAATTAAATAGAAATTGCGTCCAACACAGATACTAGCACAAAGCGAAATGCGACCGATCTCTATTTTTTATGTGCATGTGTTATTAACTCTATCAAACTTTAAATTCGTCTTGAAAAAGTAAGTGGCGCCTGCTGTCCAACAGATATTCTAGAATGGGCTCATAGGGACAAAAAAGTTGGGGACCCTGTCTTAGCAATTAGTAATTTCGAAGTGAACGAAGAAGACTAGTGAATATTTGACTAGGCTGTATAATGGTTCACCTCCTACAAGTCAGCCTTTCTTGTTTACATTTGAAATTTGTGAAATTGTTTTCGAAACCCTTTCTGACCATATTTTGCCGTCAAAGCACAGTGATGCTTCCTATCAGTTGAAAATCTTTTGAGTTCTTCGCAGTAACGACATCTGGGCGAGTAACACCAATTGTTATTGAAAATATTACGTGACAGTTTGAAACGTTGTATAATTGTTAAGTAGTAGTTAACGATGTGCAACTATTTGTGTAAATCTGGAGTTCCTAATTTTAACATAAAAATCATGCAATTGTGAGAATACAATTTTCAGTAAAATTCATTAAAAAAACTCGGTGCAAGGCTGAATTGTGCTGGTACCAAGCGACTACCATTATATGTAGCGTATTCTGGAATATTTCAGTTTTACCTGTATACGATTTAGTGCAATGGCTCAAACCTCGGAAACATAGATCAGTATCGGTCTTGTAGAAGTGCCATTAGGTCCGTTTCGTCCTTAAGTTAAACTAGATTATTACTCATATATTACTCATTATTGTGCGTAATTATTTGCCTCCTCCATATGATATTAAGAGTTTAACTGTGAATCCAGGTCTTCTCCTAGATATGTATAATTATGGATATGGAATTGCCTTTATTTACATTAAGGCTCTGCTGGTATTACAGAAGAGTATGATTTGTAATTTTGAGCAGCTCATTTCCTATAGTCCTCGTCAGTGATGTTGACTCGTAATATTTATTGATAGTTGTAGTTTGTGTTGAGCGCGTTAGGATATTTGAGTATGGCAAACCACGATGGCCATCGGCCATCGGCAAAAGATTTGATTTGGTTTAGATGATTATAGCAAAAGAGACTACGGCTATCCACCTAAGTAAGGGGAGGAATGCCTTCATGGAGGACTTTCTAAGAGAAACTGGTACGTTAGAGACGTTATACATGAGTAAAACTACGAAAACAGCCATGCAGCCAACCCATTCGCCTGGGATCGAACACAAGTCAGGTTGAACTACCAGTATTTCAGCGGTCTTAACCACTTAACTGCTGGTGGGTTGTTTAGAGTATGTTACTGGTTTTGTAGTTTTGATAGTATGAAATATAGCAGAGCGACTGTCTCATATCGATAAATTAAGTAATTTTTCCTCCGAATAAATTGTCTTTCTTGTTAAATGCAATCATATCTCACTTTACGTTACGAATTATGCTTTTTAAAGTAGTAAAAACGTTAAAAAAGAAAGACTGTTGAGAGAGAGAATATTCAGTTTTTCATCTGTTGCCGAAACGATCATTTGGTAATGAAATGTTGCCGTGATGAACCATCTTGGAGGCAGAATTCGAATAAATCAGTGCTCTTGCTTTAAGTACTCTCACTTTATGACTTACTGTTAGAAAATAATTAGTTCGAAAAGTTGAGGTTTTTCTATATCCACTGCAAGATACATAGTAGTGTACAGTTACTACGCTGAAGGGGCTAACCACTTATGCCGCCAGTCTACGCAGAGAGCAAAGCAATGTTTCTAGACACTTTAAGGCGTTTGCGAATTACTACCTAATTATACATGGTACACTACTATGTAAACTTCATGGGACTCTCGCTTTGGTAGCTTCAGCGGTTGTTGTTCTGGTTTTCACTTTGTATACCCTTTGAAAATTTAACAAAAGAGCAATTTTCGATTGGCGTAGACTTTGAAAAAACCTAGATTGTCCATTGTTACAGATAAAAAGACATATATTAATGTGGGAAATGTTATGTCATGGTATTCCCTAATCCCCTACTGTGTGACGTATGCATTGCGTCAGCATGTGTTTCCCGCCTTCGGGAGAAGACGAGGATTAGCTGGCGAGCGGAGCAGAAATGTGGGGAAAGGTAACGACCATAGTTGATAACACACATTAATGGAGTTAAGGAAATGATAAATGGAAGCCCATATTGCTTGATTTATGAAGATCCTTCGGCTCCAAAGTTAAAAACCATTGTTAATCATCTTAAATACTCCTAAACTCAGCTAAAAAAGCTGTGGTTTCATTTGTTAATAAAGTCAGATATTTGCTAAGACTAGGAGTTTATGCTCTTCGGAAGATCAGAAAATTAGTATTCCCTTTCATCGTATAGTTTTAACTTAATAACAGCATCATGCATTCTAACCAAGGATTTTATTTCTAGATTTTATCCATTGCTTTCTAACACTGTAAAAATATTGTGCTTTTTAAACTGCAAAAAAATTCTTTCGAATTTGTCGATAAACTTAAAATTATTTTTCCCCAGCGCCTCAGTTATGCTTTATCATGACGTTAAATCACTTTTTTATGTTGAAAAAACATTGAAATTAGATTTTGGGAATTGCATCTCATGCCTATTGAAGTTGAGGAATTAAACTCTGTTATCTAAAATTTATCCGAGTCAGACTCATTTTGTTTCCCAAAGTAGTTACTACCGACAATTGGATGGAAGTATCTATCTTTAATGTTCCCCTTCTTGCCATTTACTTTCCACAATTTTGAGGTCACATTGTAGAGACATTAAGTTGAAAATCCGGAGAGATGAAAAATGAGCAAACGCCTTCGCCGGGAATCGAACCACGGACCTCTGGAATACGCACCCAGCGTGCAGACCACCACACCTCGAAGGCGGGAGAAATACCGCCCCTTTTAAAGGGAGACTGGGGTTTTTAGGGGACCCAAACGCCAAATCCTGGGTGAGGAGAAGCATCATCCAACACCCGTTTTGTTCGGGCGCCACTGTAGAGACATTAGATTAATTGGAAAAGCTGAAAAATGAGCAAACGCCTTCGCCAGGAATCGTAAGATTTAACAAAGTTTTATCTGTTATGAATCCGTGCGATGCAGTCATTCAATTTCCTTTCTTTGACATTCTAATTATCCGCAATAAATTGATTTCAGCACTACTGCTTGCCTTCCCATGCGAAATCATGCTACTCTGTTTTTAAAAGAACACCTTTGTTTTCTTTTACATACATCGCACTTTCATTGTTTGTTCTTCAATTTTTTTCCCTCTGGACTCAGTTATTTTAAATTGAATGCTATTGATACAAGAATTTCTCTTGTTATTTATTTAACCTTAATGTAAATTTCCTCTTGTTAGGATAAAAGACATTCCTCTATTAGGCATAACCACAATTTTCCTGCCAAAATTTGCTCGGATCTCCACAAGTTCAACTTTCGGGTCATTTTCTTATCTTTCAGTAAAATTCGTTGTTCAATTCTTAGAAATTCCCTCTCTGATTTTAATTTTTGGGAAAAATTATATCATATGCTGTCGTGATCTGAAATATATCACCCGAACTAAAAGAGCATTAAAATTTTGCATCAGATTGCGCAAACTAAAACAGCATTAAAATTTTGCATCAGAGAACACAAATCGTATGTTGGAAAAGGAGAAATAAATAAATCTACGATAGCTACTCATAGTTGGTCATTTAATCATAATTTTCTCTTTAACTGTGCGAAAATCATTCACAGAACGCCTGGAGAAGTAGATTTCCTTGGAGCCTTTCATAAATAAAAATATTCGTTCATGAAATTTACCTCTTTTAAGGCATCCAACTACGTTCTAATCGGCAAATTTGATGAAATATTTTTTTTAATTAATTTATTACTATATACATTAGGTTTCTCGAATCTACTTTTATTTAGAAGTCGTTAGAAGCAGAACTATGGTTATTCTTGTTCTGCACCGTCAGCCGGAGGTTTCTGTTTGAGAACCGATATCTTAAGTTTCACAGACTGCTCTAAATAACTTTAAAATGAGAATTTTTCATTGGAATACTTTTGGCGATGTTCAACAAATGATTTCAAACCTTTCTATATGTTACTAAGTACTCAGGAACAATTAGTTTTACAATTTAATTGTCATACTTAGCAACATTTCATTTCTTCTGTTTGTGTCTGCATTTCATTTATACTACCCATTATTTGAAAACTTGGATTTTTTGAACTTTTCGTTACGAAAAAATCTTTAAACTTAAGATATTACTATAATAACTTTATGAAACTTTCCACAAATATTTTGTG